AAACTAAGTTACTGTAGGGTTTAGGTTTTAGGGTTTAGGGATATTATCCCCCAATAATGGAGAATCAAATGGAAAAGAAAATGGAAAATGAAATGGAAAATGAAATGGAAGCTGGGATTATATAGGGGTTATATCATATTACAGCTGGTGGTGTCTCTGGTTTACTGGTAATGTGTTCCCCAAACATACAATCCATGGATCCTACTACTCCTTCTTCACCCGCTAAACACCAGTAGGTTACTTGGCAGGTTCCAAAGAAAAAGGTAAGGGCCCCTTTCAAGCAGAAATGTTGGGGCGTAGGGATACATAGGGATTGCAAGGGTCCTTTTTGGGGACTGGGTGCGCATCAGTTTGATCAGATCCCATATCTAGACATACATACGAGATCCCTGCATAAGAGCTCGGATATGATTCCAAGTGGTATAAGTCGTACGTGAGCTCAATCAACAAAAGGTTATGAGAGTGCAAGTTAGATGGGTAGTACACGGTTCTTACGAAAGAAAGAACAGTTACATGGCTGTGGATCAAAAACCCGGTTTGTCGCTTGTCGCACCCCACCCCCTATTCCACACCAGGCCTTTTGTTGCATACCTTTGTCGCAAGTGCTTGGGACGGACATGCCTCACAAAAACAAAAAAAAAACGCGTCGCAAAGGTCTTGTCACAAGCCACGAAATTCTGCTACAAAACCTATGTGGCGGAATGGCCGCCCAAGCCTGGTACAAACCCAGTGTCTTTATTCACTGCCATATCGGGATCCATAATAAGATGCAAAATCGTACTATGCTCAATCGGGGGCATCTGGCCCCCAAAGCATGTTCCTTACTGTGCAAGCCCTAAGGGAGCCATGATGTGGGGGACTCGTGCAGCTACTCATTGTTGCCTCCATACTTGGCTTAAAAGCAAGAAAGATGACATGAAGCCTCCCCAGCAGCTCGGATTCTCAAAAGCAGAGCTTCGGCTCAGCATGCACACAGCCTATGAAACACGACAACCGTGTTTGGTTGATGTTTGTATTCCTGGTTACTGCGGCCGCGGCGTTCGTAAATGGCGGCATTGGGCCTTGCTGGAAGCGCCTCGCAGGACATGCAGTACTTCTCACATCTAACAAATCTGGTGTTTCACGAATGCCCCAAAAATCAAGGTCGTATACGCCTAAATTGGCTTTGTCCTTCTGAGGCAGACCCGCAGGAAGGTATTCGCCATTTTGAGAGATAGGCTTTTCCAGGAACAGTACTCATAGACCCCTAAACATCCAAAGTTGCAAGATTCTGTAAGGAGAACTTTCGGGACCCCCATGGATCCACACATTCCCAGGTTGCCTAGCCATCGAATATTCTAAGGCCAGACCCGGATAGGCCACAAAAACCGATTGCGGTCCCCGTGGGCTGAAGGCAGGCACCTTCAAACAGAATGAAGAGTCGGCACAGAAGTATAGATTCTTGCAGTAGGGAACAAAGCACAGACGCAGCCCATCATGTCCCGGTAAAGCAGATGAAGCAGCAAGGGGCCAATTCAACCTAGAGGTTGTGTATTTGGGCAAGTCATGCATAGCGAAGAATCCGGAATCGCATCTGCGTGCAGTGAAAGCATCAGAAGAAAAATCGCGCTGCGAGGCGTGAGCATGTACCAGCGCACTCGCGTGGTCTAAGTTGCAGTCTGTCTCCGCATGGATGCTTCGACTAGTGCCAATAAGTTGTGATTCCACAGCAGGCAGTACAACCGTGAAAATTTTGGTAAGAAGGTCGTACGCCATAAGTGACGAGCAACTTCACACACCGCCAGACAACGTAATTCCAAGCTTTGGCCACCAGTCCTTGGGTGACTCCTCAGGAAGACATGGTCATTTGTAGGGATTCCTGGTGGATTACCAGGGTCCCCTCCCAAATCATTGCACTTGGGAAGCTCCCAAATCTCCAAGTCTCCGACTTCACTGTCTTCTCATCCAAGTTGGCTGCCATCCCCACTTCGCCCCATGCACCCCACCTTGGATCTTTCCGATTGGTCTTGTTGGGGGGGTACGCTTACCGACCCGAGGCATGCATGCGGATTATGTGGGGTTGTGGGGGTCAGTATGGAAGACTACGTGGGGGCGGAGGAACGGATGCAAGACGTTTCCTAAGATTTGGGGAACGGATGCAAGACGTTTCCTAAGATTTGGGGAGGCAAAAGAGGCTTTGAAACCTGAGCACAAATTGTATGCCTTGCTGATTGCCAGAAATGCTTAAGCGAAATGGCGGCAAAGGCAGATGGCCCGGAAGTGGGGAGGGAATTTGTAGACTAAAGAGCTTCAGAAACTGACCTTGCATATGACTTACAAGCTTTCCGAGGAGGATTTACAAGTTGTTCGAATGTCTTCTTCTAGTCAGCCTCTCAGCATGGTATACTACATTTCCATCGATCCCACTGACGGACTTCCACAACCATTTCATCAACAAAACCCAGCAGCACTTTAAGATTTGTTCAGCCCCTCCACCGAATCAAGACGTGCAACCCCAAAACGCCATCTTACAGAGACGACTGTCCTTTAAAACAGCTCCACAATGGAATTGCCTAAGTAGTGTTCCCATATAACAGAGCAAACTACTGTAAGGACCTATGTTACAGAAGGAAGCCAAAGAATTCTGAGAGCCGTCATGCTGGGGCCCCTCACTGCGGTGCCGTGCAGGGCTTGCCAAGCCTCAATGCCAGAAATGACAGGAAATACTCTGGGCTATATAGGGGTATAGGGATTGTATAGGGGCTATATAGGATTTATACAGGGGTTATACAAGGATTAGATCAAACTGATGGGACTGTTCTCTGGTGCCTATGCAAAGGACGGTATTTTTTGTGGCTGGTGCGGTATACAAGGGAAGCAAGCTTCAGGAAGTTTCTGGACTGAATAGCACAGAGAAGCCTTCCGGTTTGGAGGGTTTGTAATGGGTTTGTGACAGGGCTCCTGTTCAGTACTACGCACGAAAAGCCTAAAGAAAAACATATGTTTGATGCGGAGTTTATCTAGGAGTTGAACATGTGCGACTTTTTTTCTGACTGTACCTGTCGAAGTGTAACCAGAATCTTAGGCTGGCCATGCATAGAACGCATCTGAAAACATACCTGCACGTTGTGATCAAGTTGTTCCCCTCACTGGGTGCCTGTCTAAACAATCCCGGAGCAGGGTCCTCAAAAGCCCCGCCCCCGACGCCCCCCTGTGCTGACAACTTCAAGTGTCTTGCGTGGCAGGGCTCAAGCCGTGACTCAAGCCTCAAACTGATCATTGGCTCCCATGCGCAACTTAGCGCTTGACGCCAGAAGAAGCTTGGAGAACTTCTCAAAAGCTTCAAAGCTCCGAAACCTTCCAACCCAAAGGAACCTCAAGCCCTGGCGCCCTGCACAGGACCTGCAATGTTTATTTCTCAAAAAAACTCAGCGCATAACTCTGAACCACGCCCTAACTCTCCAGGCATCCCGGCGCATTCCGATGCCGTGACAGCGCGTCCAACCAGGAGTTGGACGAGGAATAATTCAGCTGGCCAGCACTGCCGTACACCTAGGCGTCCAGGGAAAGATAGGTCAGATAGGGATTTCAGTTATATGATATATGGGAAGCATTTTCAGAAACGCCGATGTACTGGACATGCTGTAGGGTTGAGTTGCTAAGATCGCCCAGCTGATTATTGTCGCTTTTAGGGTTGTCTCCTCTAGGAACGGAGTAGTACTTGGCTCACAGACCTCCAGTCAGACAGCATCAGAGCACAAAATACACATCTATGAAACAAAGGAAACGCATGCCCAGCACGTGTGAACACCGCCTGCACTTTGCCAGAGACAGCGGCTTACACTTCATATGAGCAATTCGCGGAATGATGTGTTGTGTGCTCACATTGTATCTTCCAGCTTGTGCCTGCGAAGTGAATGTTGGCCTACGTAGCCAGCCACCTTGCCCTGAAGCTGAATCTGATGTTTGGCATCTGTCCTGAATCTCGAAACCCTAAACCCTAAACCCTAAAACTGAACCGGAAGAACATGAGTCCCAAAGCAAGGCCCTGGCAGCAGTGGATGAGAAGAGCCAGAAGAACTTGAGCTTGGGATTTGAGAATCTTTCCATCCTTGCAGGCGTTTCCAGGGTACCAAACAGGGTGGGCATAAAGGAGGGCGGGAGCGGAAGTCATCAGAATGGCAGTAGGCCTAATCCAAGTTTATCGCTCTGAAGTACGGAAGCCCCAGAAAAACCTCAAAGAAGTTTGGAGGCACATCCACTTTTTGTGCTGGGAAGTGGGGTTTTCAACCAGACCCACAATCCCTAGCAGCAATGCCGGAACCTGTTACCTAAACCAAGATGTTCGGGCCAGCCGTATAGACCCTATTCCCCCAAACCCATGCCTTGAACCTGGAACCCGAAACTCCGAAGCCTTCTAGACACATTGAAGAAGCCCTTCGCCTAAACCGAAACACCCAAGATGCGTCGCCTTTGAAATCAGTTGACAGGTTGTCACAAGGAATTACAAGGGTTGCCAGGGTTTATATTGTTGTTCTGTAGGGCGTACAGTCATGTACTGTGTACACCCCACATCTTTAAAGTCAACCCTTCACCAAAACCTTGAACCCTACAACTTGAAGGTGAGCAACCCCCAATCCTCAGGCCTAGCCCCTGAACGCCAAAGCGTAAATTCTGGCACTAGGGTAATTACTCAAACGCACTCAGCCCTTCATGTCAGACATTCAAGGTCCGTACCTTAACTTCTACTAGACTAGGCATATATAGGGTCTCTGTAACTTTGAAAAGGTCCAAACCAAGATGATTTCTCATAATCCTGAGACAAAAAATGAATATACCTCAAACCCTGTTCTTGTTCAGCAACAGTAACGGGTGCAGTTGTAACCCCAGATCCGAAAATGAGCCATCGGCTAAACTGGCAGCATCCCCCCTAATAATCCCTATAATACTCCCCTGGATAATCCCCGCAATAATCCCTTTAAGGAGTTCATACTATAGCTCAAATGGTCAAGGCTTTGGGCTGCCGGGCGCATCGTGGAGGTATGCTGCGGCCCGGCTCTTGGCCTGCCAGTTGCCAACCCGGACCGCTGCGTCGATCTGAAAACTAGATCCCCAAAAATATGCATACATATAAACATGTGTATATATATATATACCCAGGTAGGTATACATGTGGATAGCTTATAGTACCTGTGCACATGACTATCTCGATCTGCCTATCTATACATACATACATGCATGACCATAAATACGCAGACAACACTGAGAGAGAGAGAGAGAGGGATAGAGAGAGAGAGAGAGTAATACGTGGAGAAATATATGTATCCATGAGTGTAGAAGCCTACAATAACTCCTGCATGCTCCGGACATAATTCTCCGCATTATCCTAGAGGATCTAGCCTTTAGACCCCGTTTCGGTGTCTGGCAGGCATGAGCGGGTTGGTTTTAGGAAGTACCTAGATATGCGGATTCGGACTTGACGACTTGGGGCTTGTTGTTGAAAATCTTCGAGCTTGAGTGCCACGAGGTCTTATGCGATCCTTAACTGTCTGTCTGAATACTCAGGTATGAAGTAGTCTTGGCAAAATCACAAAAACTCAGAGCTGTATAGAAGGATTATGAAGGACAGGCATGTGGAAGAATCATGTAAAGAATCTACTGGGGCTAATGGAATTTGAGGGCATTGGTCAAGGGCACCTTCTGGGGTCAGGAGAGGTCCTGAGCAATCAGGGTTTTTCAGAGGGTCTAGGGTAGGGTACCGGTTCAGCAACAGGTGAATTAGGTGAATTTTGAGTGGCTTCTGTTTCGAGAGCGTGCGGATGGCCCATGTAGGAGGCTTTGGCTGCATACCACGGAGCCTACCTGAACTGCAATGAAAAACCTGAGGGATTGCAAAAGAGACTCACGTAATCAAGCCTTCCAGTCTCACGAGCTGTCCATCCGTGACTCACGTATGGACAATCCGCCGCTCTTATTTCACTGCCTAGACATGAAACTTGTGGGCTCAGCTGCTTCGCAACAACAACTTCCCACTAGAGAATCAGAAGGTAGACCGGCCAAGTGCACTTTTTCTGCCACTCACGGCCGCAAATGCAAGCCTCATGGACGGAAACTGGGACACACAAATCTACACGCCTGGTGTTTCTACTGTATTGCCGCAAAACATGTCCGGCATCAGTCTCAGATTCAACCTGCTAGGTTCTTTCGCGACTAATGATGCGTAACATTTGAGGGCAAAATACTGCGTACGAGTATTGACTTCGCACATTTCAGTACCGGTTCTCTTGTATTTGGAGGCCCGTCCTCATAGACAGCATCAAACCTTTCCCAGGTCTGGTTGATCACTGGCGCATCCTGCGCAAAGAGCAAAGAGATGTGCCAGGAGTGTTTCTGAGAGCTTTTCGGGCTTCGGCAATGAGGCCACGGGGCTCGTTGCCATCATCATCTTTATTCGCAGGGCAGCAGCAACATCATCCCCCCCCCCCCCTACTAGGGCAAACATTGCCGTCATCATCAACACCAACATCATCCCGGCTAGTCTTGCATTGTGTTGTTGCACCTGACTATCAAACCACGCTGATAATCAGTGCTAGTCTAGGAGGAAGGGCTCGAAAGTCTTGCTGCTTGGAGGGTAGGCGCCAAACAAGCTGCACTTGGATTTGCTGAAGTTCAGACACAGCGTTGGAAAATCGCAAAGGCAGCATCTGGAAGATTCCAAGTGGCGCACTGGCTGTGTCCAAAATCAACATGATTCCAAAGACTAACATGGCAACACATGTGCATAGACCGACATGCTGCTTTGGAACTTGGAGCTAGCTTTAAAAAAGCCTTACCGACGGAATCCACACCAAGAACTCTGTTTGATTCTGCTTGTACACACCAAGGAGCAATCAAGCTAAGCGAAAACATGGCTGTTGGTCATAAAGGACTCCTGTGTCCAGTAACATTGCGCGGTACCTGCCTCAACTTTGAGTGCAAGGCCGCTAGGCCTGTTCTTGCTTAGCCTAGCTGTCTGCTTAACCTCTGCGGGGAAATGTCGCCTGTCCCACAAGCCCAAGGCCTGCAGAATGCCCGCGGAGTGGATGAATCCTGCAAGAGATTTGCAAGTAACCCCTGTCCTCTAGCTCAGTAGCTGTACACCATTTCCTGGCCTGTCGTGTGTTTGCGTATATCCGTTTTGTGCTTGACGTTGCTCAGCGCAGGATGCAAAACCACACTCAAGTCAGCGGGGCACCTTTGCTACACATGCCCAGTCTATGCAGTTGGCTACCACATTTCCGGGGTGTATATGCTGCAGTGTTGCGGAGCAAGATAGATGGCAGGTGGCATACCAAATGTGGCGAGCGACCGGAAAAGTAGCAGACCCCCAAAACAGTCAAGAAGTTCCAGATGTTCAATGTGATAGCCAAAACTCCTAAAATCGCTGCAGGCATCAGTACCAGCATTGCTACTTGCATCTGTTGTGTTCAAAGTCCTCTCGTGATGCTCGCAGAGCATTTGCCAAGATTGCTGTAGTACAGTTTCCAGTACACGTCTCGTGCTCCTGTGTCCAGTCCACGACAGCTGAAGAGAGGTCAAAACGTTTCCATTTTGTAGCTTGACACCTACAAAACTAGCAGCCTGGATGATGTTTTTTGTGGCTGATTTTGGCGCTATTCGCTGTATTTCAATCACTCGGGCTTGGTGCACGCCCGCGTTTTTGCACCATTATGAAGCAGCCCTCGCTGCAAGAGCCTACAGAGCCCGCACATGTTCTCCCTTAGGGAGAGCAAGTCTGTAAGAGAGTAATACCATGTTCCATTAGATGCCAAGCTCTGCTATCGCGGCAGTTCTACGAACCTTCTCCGCTTCTGGATCATCTCTGCATGCTGCTTTGATGTCCAGGCTGCGCTGTGCTTGGATCTAAATACTTCGCAGCCTTTTATACATAGCACATTGTGAACATCTGATACGGTAAGAGATCATAGCAGCATGAAATGTGTTTTCTTAGGGACAGTGAGTAAGCCCTCTCTATAGGAGGAGAGAGCTCAAGCTCCAGCTCATTCTACTGAATTTCTTTTCAACAGAAGAACCTGCAGGGAACTGGAGCTTTCACTCCTCTCAAATAAGTGGGTTTCTCCTGAATTTTTCTTCTCGAGAAGAGAGAATTCTTGCCTGTCAACAGAAGTTTGGTTCTAGCCGAACCTTCTTTAATCAGTTGTTGGTCATTTCCTGTCCTATGTTATGATTGTACTCCTTGTCTTCGAAAAATGTTCATAGGGCTTCTGATTCGCTGCAATGTGTCCTCCCTTGGCATATATGCATATATATTTTCGCTAGGACCCAGGTCCTCCTGCTAGGTTAAGAGCTTGAAATTTCTTCTTGGCTAAATACAAAATGTGTTTGCGGATCAGTTAGTTTTAGTTTGAAGTAAACGTTGAGTTCTGACTTTCGGAGAGCTCCGTTTAACTGAGTAGCTTATTCTATGTAACCTCCTTTAGACTGCGTAAAGCCATAAAACTCTAAGATAAACAGGAATACCTTGTTTGCCTCCTAATTCTTCGATCTTCAAGTTAGATTTGCTGAGGCAAGCCTTTCATTCCAAGAAATAACAGTACGCAACATATTGGAAGCTGACGAGCTTCATTGACTCTAATAATGGAATCGTATTTCCTTGATGTAGATTCCCCGAAGCAATAGAAGCCCAATAGATCGGCGGCATCCTTAATTCCAATTAGCTGCCTATCTATTTGTAAGACAAGCCATACTAAAACAAAAAAGATCTAGGAAACCAAGGAGACCGGTAGTCCCGGTACTGTTCTTGTCTCCCCAAAGTATAGAAGAACCCAGAAGATGACGAAATTCATCATTAGGGCTCTCAAGTGCCTCCCTTTGAACTTGTGTGGTGCCTCTGCCCAAAGCAGCTTTCCGGTGGAAGGGATAATTAGCTGATCTTAGGAGGTTTAGGGTTTAGGGTTAAATGTTTTGCTAGGCGAAAACTATACGAAGCAAGGTCGTTCTGGCTTGACCTACGATTTAATTAACAGGATGGGCTGTGAAAGCCATGTTCCATTCCGCTCGCGAACAAAGACCTGTTCCAGACCAGAGGACTGTGTTCTAGAATTGGTGGTCTCCCAGAACCTGTGTGTTTTCCTAGAATTGCGCTTTCGAATGCCAATTTCCCGTTGGGCTGAAGGAATCCGAGACCAAAACCAAAAAGCCAAAACAAAAACCAAAAAAGAACTAGTAAGCGTAGATTTGTTTGATGTTATGGTATTTTCTCTGTTTTTGGTGGTGTTGTTTCTTTTGGGTGTTTTAGTATTAGTCTGTGTGTGTGCTTGTGTACTTTTTGTTTGGGCGTTTTGTTTTCTGGGGTGCTTGGTTCAGGAGCCATTAAGCCGCAGAGCCGGTTTGAAAGTATGCCCATGGATCTCAAGCCTTTTAGGCTAAACGCCGTAGATCTGGCCTCGCATGAATATGGAATGTTTAGGATGCATGCATAAATGTGGAGAAAGAAACGTGAGGGGGCACCTACGGCATTTTACCCTAGAAGCTAAAGGCCAACGCTATCTCATCAACAAAGTATGGGCCCGTGAACCTGCATACCCCCAAAGATGAATCAAGCAGCGTGAAAACCCTGGAGCATGAATGACTTTGACAGAAACACCCACATTCCTCCAAAGGCTTCAAGTTATTCCTGGTTGAGGATGCCGGGATAACCTTGCACTTAAAGTGCGGTGCCGCACTTAGCCTTTTTACATCCTGTACATGCCGTTTCAGATTTGTAGCAACTGTAGCGCCTGTGAGGTTGGGCGTGACGCTCTGGATGAAGGCATCCACTGACTCCTGACGGCAGATATATCGCCTGCAGCTACTTATCCCTATGCTTATGACAATGGTGATGATGATGATGATGATGATGCTAAGGAGTTGTAGTAGTAGGAGGAGGACGAGGAGGAGGAATACGTTACGAGTGCCAGAATTTGCGACATGACGTCAGGGAGAACCAACACTCAACCTGGGCCATGAGCATCCCAAAACCTTCAACCATGACCATCCCCACAGGCTCACCCCGAAGAACCCCTGACCCTAACACCTAAACCACCCCGAACCCTAAAACTCAAAGAAGCCCCTAAAGAAGATCCAATCTCAGTGCAGGCATAACGAACATGAAGAAGCCCCTAAACAAAACCCAAGGTGAGCGTGGGCAAAGTCCATCCTCCCTCTGTCATCGTCGTCATTGTAGAGGTAGTGGTAGTGGCAATGGTAGTGGTACTGGTAGTCGCAATACTAGTACTACTAGTAGTAGTAG